CCGACTGTGGTGACGGAAAGGAGTGCTACTTTGGGAAGTGCCGGGACAAGGTGTGCACAGCTCATCAAGATTGCGGCTACGGGAAGAAGTGCTGCGACGGCAAGTGTGTGACATGCGAGTGCTGTGCGGATGCAGACTGTGGTGACGGCAAGGAGTGCCACTTCGGCAAGTGTAGAGACAAAGTCTGCACTTCCCACGATCAGTGCGGATACGGGAAGAAGTGCTGCAGCGGCAAGTGTGTGACATGCGAATGCTGTGCGGATGGAGACTGCGGTGACGGAAAGGAGTGCTACAACGGCAAATGCAGAGACAAGGTGTGCACGTCCCACGATCAGTGCAGCTATGGGAAGAAGTGCTGCAGTAGCAAGTGTGTGACATGCGAGTGCTGTGCGGATGCCGACTGTGGTGACGGGAAGGAGTGCTACAATGGCAAGTGCAGGGACAGGGTGTGCATGTCCCACGATCAGTGCGGCTACGGGAAGAAGTGCTGCAGCGGCAAGTGTGTGACATCCGAGTGCTGCGCAGATGCAGACTGCGGTGACGGAAAGGAGTGCCACTTCGGCAAGTGTAGAGACAAAGCCTGCACTTCCCACGATAAGTGCGGGTACGGGAAGAAGTGCTGTAGGGGCAAGTGTGTGACATGCGAGTGCTGTGCGGATGCCGACTGTGGTGACGGGAAGGAGTGCTACAATGGCAAGTGCAGAGACAAGGTGTGCACGTCCCACGATCAGTGCAGCTATGGGAAGAAGTGCTGCAGTAGCAAGTGTGTGACATGCGAGTGCTGTGTGGATGCCGACTGTGGTGACGGGAAGGAGTGCTACTTTGGGAAGTGCCGGGACAAGGTGTGCACAGCTCATGAAGATTGCGGCTACGGGAAGAAGTGCTGCAGCGGCAAGTGTGTGACATCCGAGTGCTGCGGAGATGCAGACTGCGGTGACGGAAAGGAGTGCCACTTCGGCAAGTGTAGAGACAAAGTCTGCACGTCCCACGATCACTGCGGGTACGGGAAGAAGTGCTGCAGCGGAAAGTGTGTGACATGCGAGTGCTGTGCGGATGCCGACTGTGGTGACGGAAAGGAGTGCNNNAGTGGCAAGTGCCGGGACAAGGTGTGCACAGCTCATCAAGATTGCGGCTACGGGAAGAAGTGCTGCAGCGGCAAGTGTGTGACATGCGAGTGCTGTGCGGATGCAGACTGTGGTGACGGCAAGGAGTGCCAGTTCGGCAAGTGTAGTGACAAAGTCTGCACTTCCCACGATCAGTGCGGGCACGGAAACAAGTGCTGCGGCGGCAAGTGTGTGACATGCGAGTGCTGTGCGGATGGAGACTGCGGGTTGGGATACCGGTGCTCTAGCGGATCCTGCTTGAAGAAGACTTGCCCTTGTGCCCAAAGTGGAAAGTGTGGCGCTGGTGGTTGTTATGACGAAAAAAACAAAGAATAGTCGTCACTGAACGTGGTCAGGCTTATGGCAATACTCAGCAGATCACACACATTCAATAAATTTCCTTTTCCTTATGGATGTACCGGACCGCAATTTCGACAGAGTCAGGCTGAATCTGACCGCAACTACATCCAGAGAGATAGGTCAGATCGTCCCCTAGATCGAGTATGCCTTCACTGGCCAACTGTCTTGTCTATCTCTTTCAGCACTTCTCTAGGTTTGAACCTCCGCCGACTTAAGTTCGGAATGTATCTGACCGGAATTTCGACAGCTTCAGGATGAATCTGACCGCAACTACATCCAGAGAGATATCTCAGAGTGTCCGAGATCGAGTATGCCGTGTCTGGCCAACTGTCTTGAATACATCTTTCTACCATTGAAAGGGAAAGTCGTTCAATTCCCGTGTTTATTGCTTGTCGCCTTAACTCCTGAATGTCTCTTCTTGCCTGTGAGGCTGTGACACAGTGAGTGAGGCAGCCCCCATGCCAAGCTAAAGGCTTAAGCCCACAGCTGTGCCCGGAGCTGCCTGTTGCCTTTGAGATTCTGCCTGTGGTAGGGGGTACGTGGGCTCGGATGACGGTGCATTGTACTTGGTCGACAAGGAAGTGATGACAGTGTATTGTGTCGGAGGAAGCAATGTATGTAACAGCCTCCAGTTCGAAAGGACCGCTGGGTTTTTTTTTTTTTGTTTCCCTTAAATTTCTGTGAACTTAGTAGAGAGGGATCTCCTTACTTTTTCGGGTAATACATGTAAAAAAATACTGACCGTGGGATCACCAGTACTGCACGGCAGGATTTGGGTCACTCAACTGCCACACAAACTCTTTTCTATCCTATCCGGTTGCTAGTGGGACCATGCCCCAGGTTCTATTACCAACAAGGAAAAAAAAAAAAAAAGGTGATGGTCGACTTAGGTAGAAAGGGTGCATTGCATTCGGGGGAAGACGGACAGAGGGAGTGAAAAAATGTG